GGTACATAAATCAGCAACCACCCAGCTGACACAGGTATGGACACCTGACCATTCCCATTTGCATTCCCAGCCCTTATTTTCCAGGCAGGTTGGAGAACAAGAGCTCTCCTAACTCGCCGCCTGCGAGCTCCCGCAGCACCTCCCCTCGCAGACATGCGTGCGCAAAGCTTTACCTGATTAATTCAAGCTGAGCCAGCTCCAGATTGGCTTGAAAAATAGGCTTCTTTGTAAACAGTTCCCCGAGGATACAGCTGCAAGGAGGAAAAGCAAGAGGTCACGACAGCAAACCCTGGGGATGAGCGTCGCAACACGGCAGCGTTTGTGCTGGGGAGCGGCTTTGCCTGAGGAGAGTGATTTGCATCGGGGCTTGTAGTGACAAACTGACCTGTGTGTACCCAGTCCCCAGCCCTGGGCTCCTGGGAAGCACCTCCCTGCAAGAGCTGCTGAATGCAGGAGGCCCCTGGCATGTTAACTCTTTGCAGGAAAAGGAGGAAGTGTCAATGTGATAAGAGAAAGAGCTCCTCGTTTCCTCTGGGTGCAATAATTTGGGATTTTTAGCTTTGCTTGTGGGTGTCAGGGCCAGCAGAGGAGCTGGGTTTGTGCACACACAGCTCTTGAACAGCTGGGAGGGAATGAGGGAGCATCTCCGCCTCCTGAAATCCTCAATATCTCCCCTCAAGCCACCAGGAATTGGTGCCAGAAGGAGCTGGGAGATACAAACTCGTGTCTGCTGGAATGGGAATAACCCACACACGTGGTGCTGAGCAGCAACTGGGCCTCACAGTCAGTAATTAACATTAATTACTGATTTTACCAACCTCTGTTTGTGTTATAAACCCTGCTGGAGTTTAGCTGGGAATATCCCAATGGGAAGTGCACACTTTGGGGAATCCAGACTTCAGTCTCTGCTTCTGAATCATTCGGAAAAACGTTCCACTTTTGTGGTTGAACTGCTCAGATCCCTGTTTCTACTACTGAAACTTCCTGACACCTGAAATCCCTACTTTAAAATGTTATAGCTGAACAAAAAATCAGTGACAAATTGGAACTTGAAGAGTTTAGAGAAAAATTCTCCAAAAAACACACGGAAGGAGTGAGCAGCACAAGGCAAATGTGTCACCCCTCCTGGGTTGTGTCACCCCTCCTGACCTCAAGGGCACATCAATATCAGGTTGGTTTGCATTTTAAAGAGTGAAAATTGTATTTTTTACCTTTTGTCATTTCAAAATCAAGAAAAACCTAATTCTAGGAGTTTTTTTAAAGAGCTGACAGCCCCTTATCCCCTCACAGCACAGCACTGTGCCATGTTCCTGTCTCACCTGAACACTCTGCAGGGTTAGGACAGATCCAGCTGCAAGAATTGGCCCAATTAAGGAGCAGCAGAAAATTGTATTTTTCCCTTTTTCTCATTTCAAAACCAAGAAAAACTTCAATCTGGGAGTTTTCACTCAATATTTTCAATGGAATGACACCCTCCTATTCCCTCACAGCAGCCTTGTGACGTGTTCCTGTCTCACCCTAATGCTCTGCAGGCATCCAGCTGCAAGAATTGGCACAAACCAAGGAGCAGCTCTCCTGGGAACACTCAGGAGCTGCTCCCAGAGGCAGGGAAGGTCCAGCAGGACTCACCCACAGCTCCACACGTCGATGGCAGGGGTGTAACGCTCCTCCCCGAGCAGCAGCTCCGGGGGTCGGTACCACAACGTAATGACTTTGTTGGTGTAGGGACGGCTGCAAAGAGAAAAAAACAAAAACACCATAAAAAACTCATCCCAAGAGGCACAAAACCCTGAAAAACTGCTTGGTTTTACTTTCCAGTGGCAGCAGCGAGGGATTTCAAGGGCTGAACTTCCAGAGCACCAGGATGAGTTAAAAATACAGCTGAGGAGGTAACATGGATTTTACAGGACTCAGAACTCGTTGTAGGTACCCAAAACTGAAAATCCCTGAGCCCCAGCACTGAATGGTGACTGATCTTGGAGCAAAATCTGCTCCAGGACAGGTCAAAAGCAAGCAGAGATGATGTTTTGCCTCCTCTTCTAATGAAAAGTTATTCATTATCAGCCAGGAGTGGATTTTCCACCAGCTGGAGCTGGATGATACCACTGGAAATAATTTCTCAGGATTTGCAATTGAGGGATTATGAGAATATTAAGAAGAAAGAAGCTCATCCCTCCCAGGTAAGGCCCTTCTCCTTCCTCACCTCTCCTCCGAGCTGTAGAGTCGGGCGAGCCCAAAATCTGCAAGTTTGATCTGCCCGCTGAAAGACAAAAAAAAAAAAACAGTCCCTGGTTTGAATCACAGTTGAATCAGAGAATTATACAGTGTACTGAGCTGTGAGGGACCCATCAAAGTACAACTCCTTTAACCCCAGTTAAAAGATGAAGGAACCCCACTGCAGAGAAAAACCTCCCAAAGCCACATTTGCAGGAATTCCTGCTGGATATGCCAGGCTTAATTCTCCACCTCTAATTTCATGCTTCAAAGAAATAAAGAGTAAAAAAAGTAAAAAAGCATCAATAATTCAGTGTCATCTGCATCACAAACCCTACCCAAAAAGCCAATGTCCTTGAGAATTTTTTTAGATTGATATCCAGACGTGTGGTTATTATGGACAGGATTTTCCTTAGACCTCCTACTCCTGAGCACACCCAAAGTGAGGAAAATACTGGGTTGCTCTCAGCTGAACCCAGGGAAAACACCACGAAAAAACAAGTGGATCCACTGTCAGGTTACCTGTTGTTCAGTAAAATGTTGGAGCACTTGATGTCTCGATGAAGGAAATTCTTTTTGTGACAGTAATCCAGACCCTCCATTAACTGTTTCATGAAAGACTTGATATGGTCCTCTGAGAAATGTACCAAGCCAGATTCTAGCAGCCCCATTAGGTCATGGTCCATGTACTCAAACACAAGGTAAAAGGCACCTGTAATAGACAGAAAAATGGTTGAAAATGAAAAAAGACACAAAAAAAGGAGGAATGAAAAGAGATTCAATTATTGAAAAGAGTGGTTTTCGTGAACTGCTCTGCTGGATAATTTTTTTTTTAACACAGCCCTGTGAAGGTTTGGGCTTACTGGGTGTCCTTTTCCCTCAGGGGGTTAAAAAGCCCCAAAACAACTAAAGTAGCCCCTACAAGACGAAATCTGAAATTAAATATACACTCAAATTCCTCTGAAGTTCTGGCCACGTTTACCTACATGCTTTTGGTTATTCTCTTTTAAGAGAGGTTGGTTATTGTCTCTCAACAGTTTGGTTATTCTCTCTTGACAAAGTTTGTTTATTTTCTCTCCAGAGAGTTTCACTATTCTCTCTCCAGAGAGTTTGGTTATTTTCTCTTAAGAGAGTTTGGTTATTCCCTCTCAGAGTTTGGTTATTCTGTTTCAAGAGAATTTGGTTACTTTCTCAAGAAAATTTGGTTATTTTCTCTCAAGA